ATGAATATTGGAGGGAGGGATGGGAAGAGAGAAAGAGAGGGAGGGAGAGTAGGAGGGAAGGGGAGGGAGGGAGGGAGAGAGGGAGGGAGGGAGGGAGGGAGGAGGAAGGAAGGAAGGAAGGAAGGAAGGAAGGAAGGAAGGAAGGAGAATGAATATGGGAGGGAGGGATGGGAAGAGAAAGAGAGGGAGGGAGAGTTGGAAGGAAGGAAAGAAGATAGAGGGAGGAATGGGAAGAGAGAAAGAGGGGTGGAGAATAGGAATGAAAGGAAGGAAGGAAGATGGATGAATATTGGAGGGAGGGATGGGAAGTGAGAAAGAGAGGGAGGGAGAGGAGGAGGGAGGGAGGGAGGGAGGGAGGAAGGAAGGGCATGGTATGGTGCAGTGGTTAGAATGCAGTATTGCAGGCTAATTCTGCTCAAGGCCAGGAGTTCAGTCCTGACTGGATCAGGGTTGACTCAGCCTTCCATCCTTCCGAAGTTGGTAAAATGAGGACCCAGATTGTTGGGGGACGAGAGGCTGACTCTCTACAGCCGCTTAGAGGGGGCTATAAAGCACTGTAAAGCAGTGTATAAGTCGGAAGGGCTATTGCTATCTCAGAAGCTTCCCCTTGGCCCAAGCTTAAGACCTTGTTCCTCCCATTCAATATCCACTTGCACGCCTAGCTTCACCTAACAAGCTAAATGAGAACCCCTAGTTGACCTAATCCCATTCCTACATTCAGGGGTCCTGAGACGTCCCAACAAATAGACCATATGATGTTAAGCCATCAGGGGTCCCGCCCGGTCCCGATAAGAGACGGACCCACATCCTGTTTCAGCCAACAGTCTAGCACAGGGGCCCCCAAACTTAGCAACTTTAAGACTGGTGGACCTCAACTCCCAGAATTCTCTAGCCAGAAAGAACTCCTTAATTCTGCCTTAAAAACAATGCTTTAAAACTGCATTCAGGTACACCACACACCCCTCTCTCTTTCTCTCTCTCTCTCTCTCTCTCTCTGTTGTGTTAGTCATGGGAAGTTTATTTGTGTTGGCTAAAAGCCACCCACACGGAGGGAGGGCCTTGCCAAGGACAGATTCGAGAGCTAAAAGCAAACCAGACGAAGAACCGCCAAGTCGAAAGTGTTGAGATTAAACCGATCAATTGTTTTAAAAAAAAGCAAAACAAACCTTCCAATGAAATCGCCTTTCCTAAAATATCTGGAACAAATAAACAGAATTAAATCCCTTTTGGATCACAGGTAGTCCTTGATTTACGACGACAGCGGAGCCCGACGTTTCCCTTGCTAAACGAAACAGCCGGCTGAGTGAATTTTGACCCATTCTGTGACCTTTCTGGGCCCGTTGTTAAGTGAACCCCTGCAGTTGTTAACGTTAAGTCACACAGTTGTGGTGTGAATCCGGGTTCCCCATTGACTTTCCTTATCAGGTCACAGAAGACCCTGGGACACCGCGACCGTCGTAAATATGAGTCAGTTGCCAAGCTTCTGAATTTTGATCACGATCGTAAGTATGAAAAAACACTCATAAATCACGATTTTCAGTGCTGTTATCATTATCTGTCCATAAATTAAATCCAAGTAAGGTCCCTGTAAAAGATTTGCAGCTCTCCTATCTAGTTCTGACCAAGAAAGATGTCTTATCTGCTCTTCTCCTGAAAAGGAATCTGTTCTGTTGGGATTCTGCCCCATAAGTCAATGATTTGTCTAGGAATAAGAGAGGCTTATTCCCAGTTTAACCTGTTCCATAAATACATCAACCACCTGGCAGATACACTTCTTGAGCCAGAGGCCACCTGAGAAGTTCAAAAGTTGGGATCTTGGTATCAACCAAGCTTCTCTCTGCTTGGATGTCTACCAGGAGATGAGGTCTTCATTTGACGCCTTCGAAGGCTGGGATTACAAGAACCTCTGGCCATTGTAGGCTAAGAACATTTTAGGTTGGGAAGCTTGGAGTAGCACTTTCTGGTGTTCAAGGTCATTCCCAAGTAACATGTCTATCAACTCTATAAGGCAAGGGCAGGCAACTATGGCCCCTTTAAGACCTGTGGACTTCAACTCCCAGAATTCCTGAGTCAGCTAGAAATGCTTTCCTTCCATAAGGCCTCTCTAGGACTTTGTCTCAATTGTAGAAGAGGAGTTACAGCCAATCTCAGCCACTTTAAGATGGGTGGACCAACTCCCAGAATTCCCGAGTCAGCCAGAAATGCTCCCCTTCCATAAGGCCCCTCTAGGACTTCATCTCAATTGTGGAAGAGAAATACAGTCGACCTTTCATATGGGTGGACTTCAACTCCCAGAATTCCCACATCGGCTAGAAATGCGAAGTCCCACTCGCCATCCTCAGGCTGGTGCTTTCAGCTTCATGTTTGCACGGGAAAAGACCCGAACACACCTAGACCTGTATGTATATATGTATGTACGTATGTATGTATGGTATGTATGGTATTCAGCTTTGTTCGGGTATTTTCCCACGTCATTATAGTTGTGCTTTTAAAGTTGCAGCAACGTTTCGGCAGAATCTCATCTGCCATCATCAGGCTTCTGTATTGTGTTCATCTGTGAGTCAGGCTTTCACAGCTGTTTCTGTTTTAAATTTGGTGCTAGCCTATGCTGTGCCAGAATGGCTTTTTCTTCTTCTGAAAAAAAGACCTGAAAGCATGAATAGAAGAGATGATTCCACCAGACTGTCAATCATTTGGAAGCCTGCACTCTCAAACAAAAAAACTCTCCACACCACAAGCCAGACAAACACCTGGGCACAAACAGACCCCACCCACACCCGATACCTCCAGCTCAAACACACCCCAACCAGGCACCTAGATGAAACCTAGCTTCCTAACTAATGATAGCCGTCCATTTACTCGGAGCCAAGCTGCACTAAAAGCCTCCAATACAGGAACACAATGTTGCCAGCCAATCAACACCAAAAAAAGCTACAAAACAGACAGAAGATATAAGAAACACCAATCAAGCAGAACACAGCAAACTCCAAGACCAATAAACACAGACCGAGACTCCCAACCAATCAGGATGAAGAAAAAACCATTCTGGCACAGCAGTAGGCTAGCCCCAAATTTAAAACTGAAACAACCGTGAAAGTTTGACTCACAGACAAACCCAATACAGAAGCCTGATGATGGCAGATGAGATTCTGCCGAAACGTTGCTACAACTTTAAAAGCACAACTACAATGACGTGGGAAAATACCCGAACAAAGCTGAATACCATACACACACACACACACACACATAATTTAGATATATATATAAATAAAAACTCTAGCTAGCCTGAGGAAAGATACAGGTAGTTCTCAACATACAGCCATTCATTTAGTGACCATTTAAAGTTACAAAAAAATAACATGGGATCCGTCCTCACACTTACGACACTGCAGCCATCACAAATATGAGTCAGTTGCCAAACGTCTGAATTTTGACCACGCGACCATGGGGGGAGGCTACAACGGTCATAAGTGTGAAAAACGGTCACCGTCTTGCTCAGCAATGGAAATTTTGACCTCTACCCGTACATCATTTTCTTTGCTGTCCAGCTTTTAAAATTCACTTAACAATGACTTCAAAAACAGGTCGTAAAAATGGACGTGATTCTCTCAACCTTCTTGCCTTAGCAATGGATTCCAACCATGGTCGTAAGTCGAGGACCACATGTAGAGATATCTAAAGAGGGCCGCTCTCTCTTTCTGCTCACACTGGGTAACCACAACAAACGTGGGTGTAATTTAAGAAATGTGATAGCAAGCTATTAGTAGGAGAGGCAGTGTGTAATCTACGTTGCTTTGAACAGGATGTAATCAAAGACAGGGTATGTTTACTCGGCTAAAAACAGCAATTAGATCCGGGAAAGGTTGCAACCGACTCCAGAATTACATCAAGCCAGACTATTTATGAGTTCCAGATGTGTGGCGATAATTCGCCAAATCTGCTATCAGGAAGCACCAGGTTGGGGTGGGGTGGGGGAATGTTCTAGCCAGGGGGGGTCATGCCCTTGTTGGGAGTCTGATTCTGAGGGGGAGATTGAGCAGCTGACAGGGTGTGGGAGTGTGGCTCTGGTGGCTGTGGAGGAAACTGGGGAAGGGCACAGTCCGGCTGGGCATTCATAGGAAGACCCAGGGCCACCCCCTCTTCATCCTAAGGCACGCAGGGAGGAACGGAGAAGGGAGCAACATGGCTTACGGGAGAGAAAAGGGCCCTGATCCCTTTCATTAGTTGCAGCTGGGAGAACGGGATATAAGAAGGGCGTTTGCACACAGCACCTCGCTGGAAGCAAAGCGTACATTATCTTTGTCGAGGCTTATCTGGGTTTCCATACTGCTTGGTTATCTTGTGGAAGTCTGCAATTTATTATCCTGGCCTATCGTATTAATTACTTCAGTGTGGTTTGTGTTGGTTTTTTTTTTTTTATTTCTAATTATCTTTACTTTGGGTTCGGGCTGCATTTCTTCCCTTTGTAGACTGTTTTTAGAAGAGTTTGATCTCCAGCCGAGGATAGCTGGACATTGGGGACCACGTTGGAGGCACGAAAGGGAATTTATTCTACTTTGGTGATTTTGTTATTTTTGTGCCACGCCCCGGATCATGACAAGGGGTCTCCAACTTCGTCAGCTTTTAAGCTTGGAGCACTTCAACTCCCATAATTCCCCTAGCAAAGCTGGCTGGGAAATTCTGGGAGTTGTAGTCCTCCAGGCTTAAAGTTGACAAGATTGGAGGCCCCTGTTCTAGGCATGGTCTTAATTTGGACACAAATGGGTAAATGCCTCTGGAAATTCTTAAGTCATCCAGTTTAGGGTTTATCCCAAAAGGCAAATGGATCTGTTTTTCCTTGAAGACGTTCCGCTTCTCCACTTCCATTCGCCACCATTCAGTCAGAACCAAAGAAGCTTCTCGGATGAGAAGCGAAACGTCTTCAAGAAAAAAACAGAGAAAGTCGAGTTGCCTTTTGGAAACCAAAGATGCTTTGGGACATGAAGGGGTACAGTTTTGCATAAGTGATCTTAGAATTTGTATAACACGATACGAGGCTCCCATCCCCCTGACCCGTTAAGTATTATTATCATGGGAATCTTTATTATCATTTTTACTCCATTTAAGTATTGACAAAGGGCAATATTTGTAGCTCTGGTTTTCCAGGCGGGGTCCTTGGTGCTCTCTGAGCTGGGTTGTTTTCTTGCAGATTTTTCATGACCTAACTAGGGAATATCATCAATGCTGGAAAGGAATGGGATTGTGGAGAGGAAGAGGAGGAGGAGGAGGAGAAGGAGGAGGAGAACTGTGGGTTCCTTGGTGCTTAATTTAATTTAAATTTAAGCACGGTATTAAATATAATAAACCGTAAATATTTAAATGAGGTGCTCTCTGAGCTGGGTTGTTTTCTTGCAGACGTTTCATGACCCAATTAGATAACATCCTCAGTGCTAGAAGGGAGGAGGTTTGGAAGAGAGGAGATGGAGGAAGAACTGGAGGAGGAAGATGAGGAGGAGGATTGTGGGGTCATTGATTCTCTCTGAGCTTGATTGTTTTTTTGCAGACATTTCATGACCCAACTAGATAACATCATCAGTAGAAAAAGGGAGTGGGGTTTGTGGAAAGGAGGAGGAGGAAGAGGAAAGAGAAGGAGGAGAGGGGGAGAAGAGGACAAGGAGCAGAAGGAAGAGAGGAGGGGGGGAGGAAGAGGGGAGGTAGATGATTGTGGGGTCCTTGGTGCTTTCTGAGCTGGGTGGTTTTTTTGCAGACATTTCATGACCCAACTAGGTAGCATCATCAGTGCTAGAAGGAGGAGGGTTTGAAGAAAGGAGAAGGAGGAGGAATTGGAGAAGGAAGAGGAGGAGGAAGAGGAGGATTGTGGGGTCCTTGTTACTCTCTGAGCTTGGCTGTTTTCTTGCAGATGTTTCATGACCCAACTAGGTAATCATCAGTAGTAAAAGAGAGTGGGGTTTGTGGAAAGAAGGAGGAGAAGGAAGGAGGAGGAAGAGGAGGGTGACAGTGGGTTCTTTGGTGCTCTCTGAGCTTATGCTGATGCTGTTACCTAGTTGGGTAATGAAACGTCTGCAAAAAAAAAACAATCAAACTCAAGGGAACACCGCACTTAAATATTTATGGTTACATTTAATACTGAACTTAAATTTAATAAGGTAGTCCTCAACTTGCAACCACTTGTGCAGTGGCCGAGGATTACCTGCATTGCCAAGATAACCAGTTTTATGCCAAGAACTACCTACCTCTGACTAAAACTAAGACCAATGAATCAGAACTCTCTTCGGTTGTGTGCTATTCACTCTCTCCCGTTCAGTCGCATCAAAAAGCACAACGCAACGGTGTTTAAAAACTGGGGGTTTGTGGAGAGGCCTTTGAGCAGAGGTGAGATCCCATTTTTTTTAAACAACCGGTTCTGTGGGCGTGGTTTAGTTGGTGGGCGTGGCTTGGTGGTCATGTTATTGGCTGGACGTGGCCAGCTCAACGTCACTCCCATCGAGGCACGCATCTCCTTGCCTGGCCTCTCATGACTGTGGGGATGCTGCAACAGTCGTAAATGTGAAAAATGGTCATAAGTCACTTTTTCAGTGCCAGGGTAACTTTGAGTGGTCACTCCACACAAGCAAAGTACTAGCAAAGGAGGGGAAAAAAAACTCCAGAGACGTTCCAGAGACAGGAAGTCTAGTTCTGCCAAGAATGTAATAAGGATTAACCGAGAGGCAGTTTCTGTCAGCAACACCAGAATGTTTCCTTCCTGCCTTCCTCACAGGATTAGCCCAGTCATTTCTTCTAACAACCGTTTCTCCGAACTGCTTAGAAGGTTAACAACCGGTTCTAGCAAATAGGTGCAAACCTGTAGAATCCCACCCCTGCCTTTAAGGCTGGGGAGTGGGGGGGTTTGCTCTGTGGGGTCAGGAGCTTCAGCTTCTGCGTTTCCACCGCCCCCCCACCTCAAAAAGCGTTTGCTACATTACCCTCCACTGACCGGCAACACTCAGCGTCTTCAACCGGAAGTCCATTCCATACAAGATGACAAAACACAACGTTGAGTCCAGCTTCCTGGCTTCTTCTGGGTAACGTTCGAAATCCCTGGAATTTTTCCCAGGTCGGATCTGTTTGATCTCCCTGATGTCCACTATGGAACAAAAAAAAGAGAGAGAAGAAGTGAGTCAGTCCCATAGTCATACAAAGATTCAGTTAAAAATGCAGTCGAGGCATCCTCCTTCCTCCTGGGTATTCCTGGCGATGTGAATCACACTTTCTCATAAGTTTGCCAATTGCAACCACAGCCTGCCTTCCCTGTCCCCACCCCTCCGTCCCCCGCAACATCATGAGGACTAGACCCTAATCTGCCTGGTGAGCCTGGCATCAACTCCACCACTTGAAGATATTTTGAATGAAAAAGGAGAATTAAAAACCGAGCAGGAAAACTTAGTAGTCAAGGAATAGACATTGCATTGTGGCCACAAATGCAGATACAATCTCGGCATGAGAAAGATGCTAAAATGTATGGTTCAAATAAAGAGTGAACAGCTTTGGACCAGATATGAACTGGAACAGATGAAAAAATCGATAAAGAAAATATATTGTTATTTATTGGGTATTCAACTTGAAAGTGAGCAGGTAAAAGAGACCATGATTGCGTGAGCTAAAACTTTTAGATATGCAATAGAATTAGACAAACGGCAGAAACCGTGGGATAGAAATGTTAAAGTGACTATGTCAACTGCATATAAAGAAAATCTGTATAAAATGTTTGGTGAAAATGTATAAGGAAAGATCTGCTAAATGTTGGAAACATAATCAGACACCCGATTCATATGTGGTGGACATGTCCACAAGTTAAAAAAATATTGGATGAAAATACATACCTGGTTGGAAAAAATGATAAAATAGCATATAGACATGAAACTAGACATATTCTTACTGTGCCTTCCCCAGAAAAATGTGATAAAAGGACTATATACTTGATTTTACATGTATTAACCACAGCTAGAATTGTATATGCTCAACAATGGAAGTGTGATGAGATCCCGACAGATGAGAATTAATTAAGAAAATACTAGAATGTGCAGAAATGGATCGACTAACACTTACTATTGATAAAGAAGAAACTAAATACTTTTTGACATGGGACTCATTTCATCAATGGCCAGACAATAAAAACAGAAGTTAGAAAGGAAGGGACATTAAAAAGGATAAATGTTAAAATGGAAATTTGTTAAAATGGACAAACAAATTACTGTTGTTACTACAGTTTTAATGTTATTGTGATAAATGTTATTATAAACACCTTTGATTATGATTGCCTAAAAAAAAATTGTACCCAGACGACACACTGTTTGATTGAAATAGAATTTTTATATATTATATTACTAAAACGAATACAAAACACACCATCACTTGGTCCCGTTGTCAGACCTACTTCCTGAGACCCAGAAGATTGGTACCGGCTTCACGTTAGTCGAAATCTGAAAAATCACTGTACTAGAATCTATATAGTGGTACGTGTCAGGTGTGAAAAATCAGGTCCACGTGTGGAAGTCCAATTAAACTGATTTATTTTATGCTAAGTTCAGGCACAGGTACTTTCTCAATTTAAGGTGAGCACCTGGCTAGAGTTAGAGAAAGGGATAACGGCGTTCAACGGGGAATTGAATTTAGGCCATTTGTGGCTGATTCCTCTTTTAACTCTGGGTTTTTCCCCTGGGTTCTGCCACTCGTTCTCTTACAGTATGTGAGAAATACTTTGGGGAGGGCGAAACGGTCAGATAAGAGAGGGGCACAGCCCGCTGCTGTAGGTAGGTAGTCCTCGCTTAGCGACTGGTTGTTGAGCAACTGAAGTTATGGTGGACCTCCCCAGAGCTATTTGGGAGCCATTTTTTTTCTTTATATTTTTTTTTTATTTTTATTTTTTACAATCAGTCCATCTTCCATTCAAACAGTGTGTCATCTGGTTAGCAGCATCTTGTGCAATAACAATTACAGTTGATACATATTCATTGCTTAATATTAATACTCTATTCTTACTTAGTTCTAATCACATCACATATCTAATTCTTGTATCGTTCCCCATCTTAACATTTTTAGTTCTATTTTTGCTACTCTTCTTTCATTTCTATCTTCCATATTTATTCTCCAACCATGGATAAAATGATTCCCATATCACATCATATTCAGTTTGTTCCTTCTCTTTGATTGCTAATGTTAGCCTATTTATTTCTGCACATTCTAATATTTTCCCAATCACATTCTCTTCAGTCGGAATCTCTTCTTGTTTCCAATTTTGTGCAAATACAATTCTAGCTGCAGTTAATACATGGATAATTAAATATACATTCTCTTTACTATAATTTTCAGGGCCTGATAAACAGATGGACTGATGCGTGCATGTATGCGCAAACACACACACACACACTCCTATAATCGCATTTGGGACACTTTGGCAACCGGCTCGCATTTACCACAGGGCTTCAGGAGTGCGTGAAATCTCACACCATACAAGAACGGTAATAAAAGGAAAGAAATCAGGCCAATTTCCATACAGGGCCCCGTCCCTTCTCAAAAGTGGGCCCCGAGGAACCCCGTCTAGGCCAGCAAACCAAAAACGCGCAAAAGGTTTTGAATACTTGTCATGCCCCTCTTGGAGTCTGATTCTGAGGGAGAGGTGGAACAGCTGACAAGGAGTAGAAGTGTGGCTCCGGTAGTTGTGGAGGTAACTGGGGAAGGGCACAAGCCGGATGGGCATTCAGAGGAAGACCCAGGCCCATCACCGCTTCAACCTAGGGCACACAGGGAGGAGCGGATAAGGGAGAAACGAGAGTGGCGTGGTCTAGGGAGGAGGAAAGGGCCCTGATCCCCTTTCATGGGCTGTAGCTGGGAGGACTATTTAAAAGGACAAACTACTCATGGCAAAGTTGCTGGAAGCAAAGCTTGCGTTATTCTTACTGAAGCTTATCTGGGTTTTGGCTTCCTCCCAACTGTGGTTGCTGCATTACCTGGTAGAAGTCTGCAATTGATCATCCTGGCCTGCCGTATTAATTACTTTAGTGTGGTTTGTGTTGGGTTTTTTAAATTTCTAATTAACTTTACTTTGGGTTCGTACTGCATTTACTCCCTCCGTAAACTGTTTTCTTTAAGAGTAATTAACTTTACTTTGGGTTCGTACTGCATTTACTCCCTCCGTAAACTGTTTTCTTTAAGAGTTTGATATCCAAGCCGAGGATAATTGGACATTGGGGCCAAGTTGGAGGCATTAAAGGGAATTTATTCTATTTT